AGAGAGAGAGGGGGGGGGAATCAAGAAGAGAGGTAGAGAGGGAATGATAGCAATAAAGATATAGTGTAGAAAATAGGAATAGGGGGTGAGGGAGCAAGATGGGGGAGGAGGGACGCATAAATATATAGAGGGAAGTAAAAATACATGTATATAACTACGTCTCGGAAACAAAGTCAATAGGTCAGCCTGAAGTGTCGGTCAAACGATATGGCGTTGGCCTAGATACAGACGCTTCTACAAACCCACTGCTTTATCGTATTTTGTAAAATAATGGAGAGTAGACTGAGCTATGAATAACTTAGGTTCCGAGAAAACTAGGTGAATTTCCACTTGTCGAACGGCTGCGAGTGTGCCAATTAGAACATTTTCGCTCATTCATCTATCTTCAAAGCCAAGTCACTCACTAAGAATTACAACATTTTATCTACTCAGTACCTAGTGTTGAGAAATAAGACGTTAAATAGTATTTGAATTTCACAACATGTCTAGCCTTTTCGAATGCAGTTCTTTAAATATCTTGATAACGACCCCGAATAATCTTACGATTTTGGTAGAGTAGAGAGAACGTTTGGTTTCTGACCTCATGGCTTTAGTAGATCTAACTCAAAACGGTAAAAAATGTCCGAAGTTTGTAACACTAAGGTTGGGAAGTGACGACATACTTCGCACCCATGCGACAAATGGAAATATTCCTTTCGAGTGCGGGGCCCTATCTAAAAGTTCCTTTCTTATCTATCTTTTTCTGTATTGTATTATTTCATGAATAAGCATTGGAGAATATTGTAACAACAGGCAAGTTTGATGGAAAGAGAGGTAGAGGCAGACAGTGGGAGAAGATACTGGACAAGATGAAGACATGGCTAGGAGCAGCAAGAACAACAGACACCATTGCTGCAACGCAAGATAGAGTGCAGTGGAGGTCCATGATCGCCCACGCCAGTCGGCAAGGCACCGGATGATGATCATTATTATTTCATCCCATATCCAACTTTCTAATGTTTAATTCATTAGCAGATTAAAAATGCATTTTATAGACCCTCATTGAAATAAAATACAATTCCTGTCCCACCCAGTAAATGTTATTACAATCGTATTGCACGAATACAGAGTGATGTATGGTTTTTTGGATTTTGTGAACGCTTTGTGTTGGATAAAGATAAACAATCACTCGAATGCACACTCACACAAAAGTATACACTTAATACATTTATACACACAGACAGGCTAACCCCCTCCACCTTCCACACACACACACACACACGCGTAAGCACATACGTACACATATGTACACACATACGCACACAAGTACACACACACATAAACGCGCACACACACACACACACACACACACACACACACACACACACACACACACAC